TTCATGACCCCCAAAACAACAGCATTAATAACCAAAGAAAAGAAGTGCCCGCAGATGTTGGAATAGTGAGTCCCGCCCATGGTTATTAAGGCAGTAAGGCGAGGCGTGGCGACCCACACCCTTCAATTTGATGCATTTTGTATGCCTACAATGAAAATGGCATATTGGACATTTTATCACACATAAAAACTACATACTGGACATTTTATAAATAATTGGTGCACATATATTTTCAACCTTGATTGGTGTTATTTGGTAGATCTCGAAACGGAGCTGTAGCATTGTTTCTTTCAACCGGATCCATCTATCTTCAACAGCAAATCCATCACAATGTATTACATGAGCTTAAGCATGTAAGTAGAAATCTGAGGCCAATCAAGATGTAGTAAAAAAATGCATGGCTTCCCCAGGAGTTTCTTTTTCAACCAAGGCCTTGTTTAGATCACTTCTAAATTCCAAGTTTTTTCACTCTCTCTCCATCATATTAATTTTTGGACGCATGTATGGAGTATTAAATGTAGGTAAAAAAAATAACTAATTACATAGTTTGGTTGTAAATCACGAGATGGATCTTTTGAGCCTAGTTAGTCAATGATCGAACAAAGTTTGTCAAATACAAACAAAACGTGCTACAGTGTCCAGTTGTAAAAATTTGTAATCTAAACAAGGCCCAAGGTAGCTATATTAGAACCATATATAGGGGGTTTCTGCAAAAACATTGAATGCCGGCGGCGGCCGTCGTCCGAGTCCGCCGACCCCTGCGCCCATCTGTGTGCTCGGCCCGCCTCCACCCGACGACCCACCAGACAGTCTCCACCCTCAAAATAGTGTACCTGATCCTCAAAATTATATACATCATCAAAATTACAAAGGCCAGATTAAGAAGCAGGATGAATAGTGTACCTAAGCTTCAGGCCTAATCTCTACCTCAACGAGCAGAATCATGGAGCCCACATCATTTCCCTTACTGTTCCGTGGAGGCGGGGGCAGGCAGCGCTCGCTGGACGCCTCTAACGTGGATCCAGGCAGAGACCGCCCTCCACGGATCCACGCAGAGAAGATCGCCCTCCTTGGACCCAAGCTGCGGAGCTGCATGGCTTCACGCGTTGCAGCCGACTTCGGCCCCCTCGTCGTCTTGTGCTGTTGGCAGTTCAGGAGCGGAGAAAAAAAAAGAAATAAATCAGCTAAAGAAGAATAATGCAGAGAGAGAAAAAAACAGCACATATACAGAATAGCTTAAAATTGTGTACTACTGTTTAAGTGATAGATTAACCAAGGCATTATCCAAATTCCACTGATAAAGATCAGATGATCGTGTGTTGTTCAATACCATTCATCCTATCAGGTACACAACGGTTGAAGCCTACAAACCTTATTATCCAAACGTGACCAAATAATACAATATGACCTCCTACAGCTTCGGTGGCTAGGGGAATATGTCAGGGGTGAACTTTTGCGCGGCGCTTATGCTCCCCTTGATCTTAATAGCTCCTCTGCATAGCAACAGAACTCATCAGCAAAAAACTCCCAATTCCCAAATATCCTGAACCTGAATGAAAAAGCAATGGCATGTTTTTTGTTCCCCCAACCAAATAAACGCAATCTGCAGGTTCGTCTTGCCACTGGTGATTACAAGGAAATCGTTGTCAGTGAAGGAGATGGTAGCATCCGGCTTCCCCTGGTACAGACGTACACATCAGAATCAAATCTTTCAGAATACCGATCCGGCAAAGGACGACGCAAAAGGATAGACCTTTGGTGACCTCGCCCTTCTTAAGGTCGCCCACGAAGATCTCCATGTCAACGCCGAGCTTCTGCAATGCACAATGCCACACATGAATTCACGAATCAGGAAGCCCGTCGATCTGGCCGGGGTTTCACACAATATTGTCAAGTAAAAGAGGAGAGATTCACGGGAGATTTGAGATGGGGAGGAGGAGGGAGAGGGGTGAAAGCTCTAGTTTGGTTTTGGTAAATTGATGAAACTCTAAGTGCTAACCTAGTTTATCAAGTGATCATAATATAGGTAGCACATTCCTAAGTGGTGAAACAAATGAAGATCATAACATGATGATGGTGATGTGATGCCATAGTGATGATCAAGTGCTCGGACTTGGAAAGAAGAAAGAGAAAAACAAAAGGCTTAAGGCAAAGGTATAAATTATAGGAGCCATTTTGTTTTGGTGATCAAGACAGTTAGTGAGTGTGATCACATTTAGGATCGATAGCCGTACTATTAAGAGGGGTAAAACTCGTATCAGAATGCGGTTATCAAAGTGTCACTAGATGTTCTAACTCATTGTATATGCATTTAGGATCTAGTGGAGTACTACCACCCTTAAAAATGTTTGTGAAAATATGCTAACACATGTGCACAAGGTGATACACTTGGTGGTTGGCATATTTGAACAAGGGTGAAGAAGATAGACGTGAAGAGGAGTTGGTCTCGCTGGTCACAAAGTGACCGGACCCTGGTCTCAGAGGAACCAGCGCGTCCGGTCAATTGTAACAGCGATGACGCTGGCGTCGGTCAAACGACCGGACGCTGGAAGGCTGTGTCTGGTTGTGTTGACCAACAACGCGTGTGAAGTCAACATGTGATCGGACGCTGGCTGTGTCCGGTCAAGCATGACCGGACGCGTCCGGTCGAAGAAACTCGTTTCTGGAACCTTAATGGAAATGACAGGACGTTGGAGGCTAAGCGTCCGGTCAGTTGTAGCGGAGCGTCCGGTCAACAGATGACCGTTGAGATCAGACGGCTCCTGTTGAATGCAGTGTAACACGTGGCTGACATCGGGCGACCGGACGTTGGGTCTAGAGTCCGGTCAGTATGACCGGAGCGTCCGGTCACCCCGCGCTATACCCAGTGAAGGGATACAACGGCTCTATTTCATGGGGGCTTTTATTTAAGCCCCATGGCCGGCTCAAGCTCACTCTCTTGGCTATTTGCATTGACATAGCAACCTTGTGAGCTTAGCCAAAGCCCTCCCACTCATCTCCATCATTGATTCATCATCTTTGTAAGATTGAGAGAGAATCCAAGTGCATTGCTTGAGTGTTTGCATCTAGAGGCATTTGGTGTTCGTGTTTCGCTGCGGGATTCACTTGTTACTCTTGGTGGTTGCCGCCACCTAGACGGCTTGGAGCAGCGAGGATCGTAAAGCGGAGGTTGGTGATTGTCTCCGGCTCCGACCGTGGTGATTGTGAGGGGTTCTTGACCTTTCCCCGGTGGAGAGCCAAAAGGTACTCTAGTGGATTGCTCGTGTCTTATGTGATCCTCATCTTGTGTTGGTTGTGCAGCACCCTATTGAGGGTTTGGCGTGTGATGCCAATTAGCGCGTGAACATCCAAGTGAGTGAATCGCCACAACGGGGAGTAGCTTGTCGGCAAGCAAGTGAACCTCGGTAAAAATCATTGTGTTCATCATTTGATTCCGAGGTGATTGGTCTTCATTGTTATTCACTCTTGTGATTGATTGGTTCCTTCATCTACACGGCGGTATAACCTTATTGATCACTCTCTTTACATTACCGCAAACTAGTTGTCAAGCTCTTTAGTGTAGTTTGTTGTGAGAGCTAGCTTGGTTGGTTGGTGTGGCTCTTTAGTTAGCCTTTGAGAGTACACTAACATAGGGTAGTGTCATAGCTATTGTGTGAATAGATACTATCTAAACTAGAATTGTGGTAGGTGCCTTGCAATTTTAGTAGGCTAGCGCAACACTTGCTTCGCCTCATAATTATCTAACCGGTTTGCTAAGTGTTGTTGTAGAAATTTTTATTAGGCTATTCACCCCCCTCTAGCCATTAGGACATTTCAAGGGGGAGGAGGGGTGGCTGACCTTGGGGGCAATGTTGAGCTGGTAGACAAGGCCAACCTTCTTTGTGAGATCCTTGCCGGTGTCGGTGGCCATGTGGAGGCGCATCTGCTCCAAGAGCGTAATTGATTGGGCGTAATTGATTGGTGAAGAGACTCGGCACGGAAGGCGGCGGGATGGGCGAGGACGCCGCTCGTGGATGGGTTTAAAAGGGAAGCTCGAGCACCGCCGACGACGCTTTCTCACACATTGTCCGTGGAAATGAGCGAGTAGAGGCGGCGCGTGGAGGTTGCGGGCGCCCGGCAACGTCGGTTCGCGTTTGGGGTCCTCCTCCACCTCCGCCACCGCGGTGGCTCCTTTGAGGCCGCAACCCCGTCATCTGCAGCTGGCGGCGCACGCTGCAAGGCTAAACGACGCCGAGCCGCGAATCGGGTGGGGAGGAAGGGCACGGAGTGGGCGTTGGAGCGGAGGATCAACGGAAGAACGCGGCGCGCGGGTGGGGAGATGCATCGCCCGAAGGCGTGGGGGCGGTGGGAGGCGAACCGATGGAGCCGAGGGATGGCTTGGAGGCGACGAAATCGGATCGGACGGAGCGAGGGCACGGAGCGAGCGGCTTTGGTGTCGCATCCGGGATGGAGGGAGCCAGCGGCTCTAGTATCGCACTGTGACGGAATAGTTATGAATGAATAGTTATGAATATATTTATATATATATATATATATATATATATATATATATATTGGATGCGTATGTATTCATCGCAATCCACATGTGTTGAAGTGGAATGAACTAAATTCCATTCTATTCCACTCCAACGCACGTGGAATTGAGATGGGCCATAATCTCCCAACGTTACCAAAGTTTTGCTAGGATGCGTTGGACTAGGTGACAGGATGATGCACAATCATATACTTACTAGAACGATAGTGAAATGCATGATGGTCTCAAGTCGAAGTCAAAATGAAGAAACCCAAATTTCAAACGTGAATCATCAAGTGTATATACATCATCGCCACGTCAATCCATATCTCGAGACTGACGTGTATATCTTGCACGAGGTGAAAAACGAACAGACCGAGCAAAAGAGCCGTAGATTAGTCTCGTAACTACTGTGACAGTAACAGTCTCGTGGGTGATATGTAACTAGCAACAGTAAACATCCATCCATCTAAGGTTTATCATTCAATCAACTACTGAAAACGAGATCCAGCTCGCTCTCGAATCCATTCAAAGCACTCTCTTTCGCCTTCGATCCATCTGAGTGCGCCGTGCCGCTCATCATGCCGTTCTTCCGATGCGATGACAGAGCCTCGTCGTGCGCCCCGCTGCTGCCGGAGTGCTCGGTGCACTCGACCTTGGTCGCCCTCACCCGCTTGCTCCTCCTGACGCGCTGCCCCCACGACGCGACGCGCCTGCACACCCGCTCCACCACGCCGCCGCTGTCGCCGCGGTGGTGGTGCCACCACCACCCGGCGCTCTCGAGGGCGCCGCGCAGCTCGGAGACCACCTCGTCCATGGCCGGCCGCCGCTCTACGGTCTCCGACACGCACCGCGCCGCCAGGGCGAGGACGCGGGCCACCGCGCGGTTCGCGCGCGCCGTGGGCGGCGCGGCCACCCTGGCGTCGAGCACCTCCCGCGCGCGCCCGGCGCCGATGAGCGGCGCGGCCCAGGACACGATGGACGACGGGCACGAGTTGAAGTCCATCACCTTGCGCCCGCTCACGAGCTCCAGGAGCACCACGCCGAAGCTGAACACGTCGCTCGCCGGGCCCAGCCGCCCGGGCTCCGTGTAGCAGGGGTCCAGGTACCCGATCGTGCCCGCCGGGGCTGGCCCCGCCGACGCCGCCGAGCCGCCTTCTTCGTCTTCGTCGTTGTCGTCGTCGTCGTCGTCCTTCTCCTCGCCGCCGCCGCAGGCTCCAGCAGCTCCAGGTGGCGCGTGGACGACGGTCTTGACGCTGACGGCGAGGCTGAAGTCCGCGAGCCGGGCGCGGCCGTCGCGCCCGAGCAGGACGTTGGCGGACTTGACGTCCCGGTGTATGATGACTCGCGGCGCCGCGGCGTGCAGCGCCTGCACGGCGCACGCCACGTCCAGTGCGATCTCCACGCGGCGCGGCCACGGCGGCGGCCTCGGCGACCGGTGCAGCAGGTCGTGCAGCGACCCGTTGGGCATGAACTCCATGACGAGCAGCGGGGGCAACCGAGGCCCCGACGCGGCCGGCGGCTGCGGCGATGACGACACCCCGACGATGCCGATGACCCCCGGGTGGCGCGGCGCGGTCGAGAGCACGGCGATCTCGTTGGCGAGCTTGGCCTCCCCCTGCGCGTGCGACGGCCGCTTGACGGCGACGACGGCCATCCTGCGGCCGCCTCCCCTCAGTCTGGCCCTATACACGCTGCCGTGGCTGCCCTTTCCCACGAGGTTCTTCGCCACGAATCCGCCCGTCGCCGCCTCCACCTCCTCGTACGAGAACTCCTTCATGGCCACGCCAAGTGCAGCTAGCTATGGCGTTGCGTATTGCTGGAACTGGAACAGGGGGCTCGGAGGTACTAGGAGCTAGCTAGCAATGGAAAGCAGTTTGTTAGCAGCAAGCAAAGCAACTAGGCAGGGAATAAAAGGGCAAAGAGCTAGGGGGCAAAGAAAGAAGAAAAAAAAAGGTAAAAGCGGCAAGGATCATCAAAGGAAGAGGAGGGTGTGGTAAAGTTGATCATTGCAGTTTTTTTTGAGAGAGAAAAAGATTGCTCTAATCTAGAGAGAGAAAGAGGATGATGCTGCTGCTGCTGCTCTGGTAGTCTGGTCCCCTAGACAACAAATTTTGTCTTCTCAAGGGGAAAAAAAGGACCCAATAGTAGTAGAGAAAAAACAAACCTACAAGACCAAGCAATGGCCTTGAAAGTGGCTTACTTGCTGTTTCCCTCCTCTTGTGATTTTCTTCTCCCTCTTTGCCTCTTTCTCTCTGCCTCTCTCTTTCCTCTTCTTTTTTTTTTTTGTCTTTGCTTCTCTCTCCTCTCTGTTGTTTATTTGTCATTAGACGGTGCATGGGAGGGAATTCTTGGACCTGATGAGATCGTTGGAGTGGTTGTGCTGGGCCTGCTGGCCGCCGGAAGGGCCTCGCAGCAAGCCAACAGATCTCTAGAGAATGTTTATCTGTCATGATGGAATGTGTGCAGGTGTTGACTGTTGTGTGGACTGGTTGAGCACTTGGGGGTGTGTTTAGTTACCTAAAATCTAAACTTTGGCACTATGCAAAAAGAAGATTCTCCATCACATTAAACTCGCGGTCCATGCATTTTGAAAGTATTAAATGTTGATTTAAATCAAAACTAATTGCACAGTTTGGTTATACTTTTATGAGATTTAACGTTTTAAGCCTAATTAGTCAACGATTAGAACAATTACCAAATACAAACGAAATGCTACATGGTGCTACACTGCCGCGCAGTAATTTTGCCACTGCCGATTCTGGGCAACTTAGGCCTTGGACTTTGATGCGCGCGGCCATGAAAATACATTGCTTGCAACTGCAACAGGTGGAGGCCCTACGCACCCATCGATGATAGGAACCACCCTAAAATACCATGCTTGCAACTGAACAGGCATCATCGCCTGGTGCTGCTGGAAGAAATAAAAGCGTGGTGTTTTGGCTTACAAGACAAGGAAAGGCTGGATCCTAAATAAACAATAACAAACACGAACCATGCTAGATATATATGGAGTAGGAGCTAGCTCCATGTTGGTTATCTATATCGACAAAAAAGTTCTCTTGGGATATACTTCAAGTCAAAAAAAAGTTGTTCGACAACAAGGATAGATTGTGTGGTTGTGCAGGGCAATCAATCTTGTTACGTGGAAATTATCGTGTTCGGTCCACCTCGGGCTGTGGTTTTCATGTTGCACATATGTAGCCTCCCTTGGAGCATCTTTAAGAGTCCTAATTTAATTTCCCTATATATATTCTCATACAGAGGTATCCTAATAAAAATCTCCCCTAAATATTTTTTGTCCTAACCCTCTTAATCAACGTGCACATAGGGAGATATCACAAGCGCATGATTTTTTTCCCGTCTCATCCCAAACCCATCATCATCTCTCCCTCCATCCATCTTTCTCCTCCCGTCACCGCCTCGACCACCGCTAGGGCCGCTGGTGACCTCCCCCTCCCGCTGCCCACCCCCGCCCAACCTTTAATTCCCTGCCCTTAGCTAATCCCAATCAGCGCGTGACTCCTTACCTCCGCTATTGATTCCACCCAACAGGATGTCTCCTGTCGCCTCACTCGCAGCCTCTCAACCCGCCACCACTGTCGGGCCGACCACCGCCCCTGGGCCCCTCCCCATCTAAGGCCCTAGGCATGGAGACCTCTCCTCGAAACCCTAACCGCCATCGGCCATGGAGAACTCAACCACTGCCTAGACATAGAGAACTAAACCGCCACTGCCTCGTTCACCGCTACCGGCCTGCGGTGACCTCTCTGCTGGTCGCACCGCCCACCGCCCACCCATGTGGCCCCTCCCCCCAATCTAGTTGTAGCTCGTGTGTTGCGTGCGTTGGCTATGCATGCGTGTCGAATTGTGATTTTGTGTTTGCTCGGCAATTGTGGTTCTACTTGTTGTCTCATCTCGGCCCGAGATCATGTGGTACCCAGAAGCAATGAGATAAGCTTTGTTGATTGATGGAGAATATGAAGTAAAAAATTGGAAAGGCCCAAAGAAGAGGATTTAATCACATTTTGATCCAGGAGGCTTGGACATTATGATGGGAATCACAGAAATCAAATTGTTTTTTATGTTGTATCGTCTTCCTTGAAAGCCGCACAATAATTCTTCAAGAAAGAGATATGGTTGTGGTGATTTGCTGGAGCTCGAAAGCTTGGGGAACTATTTTTTGGTCGCATAGAAAGGTCATGTAGAAGGTCTAGTGTGAGTCTTTTGTGTTTTCTGATGGTGTCGTTTCATGACGTATATCAGATGATTTTTTTTTCTAGCGTTAACCTTCTCAGACCATCTAGTCAGGGTAGTGAGGTTACTTTTCTATGTGATTATTATCTTCCATTTTCTATTTTAATATAAAAATATGCAGCCCTCCTGCATATTAAAAAAAACATATTTCTGTCCCCTTGCGATTCCCCTATCCCAAAGAACATATAGACAGAATGTCACCCCAAATTTGAGAGGATATTACTAAATTTATGATGTTGGATATGCGGGTTGCTGGAGGGTGATTTTTATTGCATAAACTTTATTTCTTTTACTTCAAGAGATTGGCTATTACATCTTGAGTATACCACACATAACTGCATTAAGCTTGCAAAAACTATCACACAACTACACTTACATAAATTACACTTCTGACAATTAAATTCAAGAAACTGTGATTTTTTTAGACTCAGTACAAACATAAACTTTATACACACGGATACTAAGCCATGTGAACACATGCACACGCCCTCTACCCCTATAAACACCTTGAGATTAACGAAAAGTTACCACATGGCTCTCGCTATTGATGCATGACCATTTGCCTACCAACGAAAGAAGAATTATCCGTAAATGTGAGCACCTATTATGACTTGGTGACTATGCGCTACTATTGTAATGTCCAATCATAAAGTCAAATCGTTATTGTCATTTTGAATTGCAAATAAACTACACTTTGAAACATGAAAATGTGTAAATTTGTAAAATGAAATGAACGCAATGCAAATATATAGTTTTGTGATATGATCATATGAACCCATGAGAAAAGTGCAATTCTTTCAAATTGATTCTTAAGAGTGTAGTTTTGTGATAGTTATTCTAATTATGGTATAGTTTTGTGAAGTTTGCTATATAAAATTGTTGTTTTGAGATAGTTTTTCTAATCGCAGTACCCATCTAGTAACAAAAATATGTTACATAGGACAAGATTTGGCTAAACCTTAAAACTACAATAATAATTGCAACATTATTTGGTGTCGAAATATTTAAGTTAAATGTGTGGATTTGTGTTCGAAGCACTTGCAAAATCTCTTAAATTTGAAGAAATTTAATATTATATTCTAGAAGGAATTGATGGTAATTAAAAAATACTCGTCGAAGAATGTAGAAAATCACCTGTGTCAAGTGCCTTTTAATGGGAGCGAATATAGTTTTGTGAAGTTTCACTCGATCTTCTACTACTAGTAGTATAAATAAAATTGGGTTCATACGAAACTTCGGACGTTAGCATCTCCAAGAAGCCAACTCGAAGTCAAACATCGGTCAAATGGTTGATCATCAAGCCTTGATAATGATATCCACCACGGAACTGATTAGATGAGAGAGTCTTGCTACTTGCTAGCTCTCCTGTTGCTCTATTGACCTTGATGTTCCTTTGATTTTCGTTTCTCACCAAATCGCTGAATTATGTTACCCATCTGTCACCTAAATATAGGGAACGAAACTTTTTGTTCTTTTCCGGATATATGTATTATACCATCAATGAAAATCCTAACTAACAGTGAGAGATTCAACTTTCTTTTTGGAACAAACAGATTTGAATGTTTGTGAGAACTGCGGTAGCATTAAAGGCGTGTTTGGTAAAGCTTCGTCCCTGCATGGTTTCAACTCCGGCTCTTGCTGAAGCCCTGTAAAATAGTGCACGCAGTAACAGCTCCAGCCAAGAAGTCCGCCGAAATGAACTACAAAAATCGACTTCTCTAGGCTCCTCACCTATCCACTCCCCAAAAGGACAAGACCACCCTCCTTTGCCGTGACACGCATGACGTTGGGGCCTGGGGGCGACGCGGCCCGGCTACCAAGAAGCATAGCTCAGCAACCTGGCCAACAGCCTCGCCATGGCGTCATTGTATTGGCCTCAAGTTTTACAAAAAAAAACCCTCAGAGATATATGATTTAAGTGTGATTTAGGTGTCTTAGATATCTTCTAAATTACCCACAGAAGATTTTAAGTTGCTATAATCCAGTCCAAGCCAGGCCTTTTTACGGATTTAACCATGCCTTTCATCAATTTACATAACAATGTTCTTTACTAACCCCTTATGTCTATGGTTAATTGCAATCTAGCACCTAAATCTTTCTAATAAAACAATTTTAATTCCTCATGTATACCCAAGTCAAATACGTAAGGGCACAATGGAGATTTGACCTCTTCTATCCTTTCTTGAAAAAACAAGTGTGCAGAAGATATGTATAATCTATTGATAAGATTGCATCTCGAGTTTCGGCCATATGTGTATTAAGCAACCTAATCTTATGGCTTGCGCTAGTGAAGCGTATAGAAGGCATCTCTAGGGATTATTGGGTTAGTTTGCTTAAATCGAGTTAGTTAATAGGATGACATTTGGGCTCGCTAACTTTATTAGTGATTTAGTTGGGTCTTTTTTTTAATAGCGGCTTTTGGTTTGATGGTCGGAGTAGCCGTCACTGACACATCTTGTTAGCGACCACCTCCATTGCCCATCCCTCCGTGCTATAATGGTGACCTCCGCCTTCTATCTTATA